TTCCCATTATAATGGCGGATATTACTAGAACAAGCAATCTGCTGCATTTTCTAGCCCCCACAGCTTCATTTTCTTAATATCTTTTAGTCTACTATATATCTTAAGATTAGAATAGGAATACATTTTCTACTTTTTAGTGCATCTTCTTCTTTCTTGATATTATTGAACTGAAATGGCTGTGGCTATGGTTTCTTGTGGAATCCCCACTAGTTTAAAACCTATAGAGAAGCAACCCATTTCAACTCCAGGCTTCTTTAATGGCTCTTTAGCTTTGAATCCAGTCCAAAAACTGCACATTACACCCAAAAGGTAAGCTACATTTTTGTTTGAATTTGGTTTAATTCATCTTTAGTTAATTTGCTTTCTATTGATTGTGGAATCCTATTTTCTCCCAATTTTTAAAAAAAATTTCTAGTACATTTGTGAGTCTTGGTCAACTAGTATCCTTTAACTTAATCACAAAGTTTGAAATGCAGCTGGATAAATGATGTACTCTTTAATTGAGATCATAAAGAAGTCTCTGTAGTTGGTACTTTCTCAAGGACTGGTTAAATTTGTGAGATAAATTGGTCAATTAGGAAAGGGAAATTTTTATTTTTTGAATTGCGGGTAGAGAAAAGGGAAATCGGGAGGGGATTACAAGATGGGGAATCGAGCGCTCACTAGTAAGTTCAGATAGTTAGTCAACCAACTGAGATAGTAAGATAGTTTTTGAATTAGATCTATGGACTTCCTAAAGTTTAGTAATTATATGGACTTGGAATTACTGTAGTATTAGATGGGCAACATTTGAAATCAATCTACTTTGTTTTTCCAGATTAGCTTTATCTGGGAGTACAATTATTCCGAAAGCATCGGTTACAGCTGTGGAGGTATCTAAGCATATTAGCTGATTGATGTAATTGTTCCTTGCTATTTAATTTTTGATCTGAGATTGAGATGTTTGTTTTTGATTCATGTAATAACTGGTCAAGCAGGATGGAAGTTCACAAGAGACTGCTGCAGTTCCAACACCCAAAGTTGTAATCGATTTGGATTCAGATCCAGAAGCAACGATCGTAGAGGTTACCTTTGGGGATCGCCTTGGGGCACTTCTCGACACAGTAAGAATCCGTTACTCTTATGATTCAAGTGTTGAGTGCTATTTGCTGTCTGTTCTGGTTTTGATTTGCAAAGTGTATTTCAGATGAATGCATTAAAAAACCTTGGGCTGAATGTTGTCAAGGCTAATGTATGTCTTGATTCATCTGGGAAGCATAACACATTCGCCATCACAAAAGCGTAAGTTCATGTTGTGGGTTCCTTTATGCTGCTAGGTGATTTTTCTGTTCCTCTTATACTTAGTCCTTGCTTACTATCAGTCACCAGATATCTGAAAATACTTTCGAATGAATCTTTTGTTATGCGTCTAACAACATTAGTTCCCTGATTGAAATTCTGATTGTTTTGCTATTGGGACTTGTTTCTAGTTCTACGGGTAGGAAGGTCGATGATCCAGAGCTGCTTGAAGCAATTCGTTTGACGATCATCAATAATATGATGGAATACCACCCGGTAGAACTTCAATAAGTTGTTGAGCATCGGTTGCTTAATCTGGTACCTCATGAGGGATTCATATATAGCTTCTTCTTCTTACTGCATAATTTCTGGTGCAGGAATGTAGCTCCAGATTAGCTATGGGAGAAGCTTTCGGTGTTTTTCAACCATATCAGAAGGTTGTTAATAGCATATATATGATGTCCTCGCCTCCAGTGTGTGCATACAACATTAACAAGATTATGCACATCTGTATTGGTTATTTTGAACATGTGGGAGACAATGTGGGAATGGGGGGTTGTTTTCTGAATGTGCGAGGTTCCTGCTAGTTCTTGCATTGTAGTAACGACTAATAGCTTTCTTTCTAGTACAAATTTGATACAGAAACCAAGGCTTGATTTACATTAACTTTCATATCAATCATTTAACTTAAATCTTACTTTGTTGTTTGTGCTGAAAATTTTCAGATTGACGTGGACATAGCGACCCATATCCGTGTTTATGACGATGCTCCTGAAAGAAGGTAAGGTCATATTTCCCTTTCTTGGTTTTGATCAGTACATACTGAAACTGCTAAACTTAATAATCAACCTCATTAGTTGATCCATTTAGTGCACAACTTGAAGAGAATAGTAAAATGCCTCTATTTTGCAGTTTACTCTGTGTAGAGACAGCAGACAGACCTGGACTGATAGTTGATCTCGTCAAGACCATTACTGACATAAACGTTGATGTTGAATCAGGAGAGTTCGATACTGAGGTGAGATTTTTTCAGGAGGTTTTCCAAATCATTTCACTAAACTGTTTAAGTAGTGGTTGTGCCCTCTAATAAGTATTAACCTGCAGTAGCTGGCATAGAGTTGAAAAGTTTCATTTTGGTGTAGGGATTGCTTGCTAAGGCGAAATTTCATGTCAATTACAAGGGCAAAGCGCTGATCAAGCCCCTTCAACAGGTAACCGATGCGAAGTTAGAAGCAATATACAATTTCTTTCATTAGACCTTGGTAGCTTGAAGAAAGTTATTGACAGTTTTCAGTCTCGAATAGGTTCTTGCGAATAGCCTGCGTTATTTCTTGAGGAGACCAACAACAGAGGATGCAAGTTTTTAATACAATGCTGAAAAGTGAGAAGTTGTCAACAGGGTTAACTAAGTACTTTCAATTTTCAAGATCATGAGGCTTGCTGGTTTTACCAGCACCAATCCATTCCAAGGTGTAAACAGAGAAAATATGCATGAAACTCAGAATCATAGCTTCAATACTACTGTAACAATGTAGGTTTCTACCATTTATACGTTAATGATATAAGTTTTCAGAACAGGAAAAAAAAACCAATTATGTTATCCTTCATCACTGCAATTTGAGCTTTCAGTTTCATTAACATGAAGGTGGAAAAGATGATTGTCCTACCTACCAATTCAATCGAACTTACACAGCCTCTCTATCTCACAAGGTAGGGTTAAGGTTTGCGTACACACTACCCTCCTCAGAACCCACTTATGGGATTACATTGGTATGTTGTTGTTGATGGCTCTCTAGTAAGCCAAGTCGTGGAAGATACTTGAAATGAGAAAAAGAAACTGGACTTTTTGCATAAATATCAATAAATCATGGTTCCTCCTTTACTTTGACTTGAAATGAGAAAACAAATTTGGACTTATCTTGCATAAATATCAATTAATCATGGTTCCTCCTTTACTTTCAATCAATAATGAATAGGTTCTTGATGTGATCTGCAATTATCCATGCTAGCTACACCAACCTAACATATTACCTACTACCAAAGATATGATGTAGTGGATGGGGCCTAAGTAGTGCGAATCTTAGATTCCAATGCAGGTACCGAATGCATATTACCTAGTGTGATATCATAAGTGAGTTTTGGGAAGAATGGTGTGTGTGTTGGGGGGTGGGGGTGGATTTTGGAGTGTGGCTGTTATTTGTTCACTCTAGATGAAGTGAAGATAAGGCCTGTGAGCACTTTAACTAGGAATGGAAAAAGAAACTTTCATAATGTAACCATATTTCCATTGCCCAGTTAGGTGTGTGGACCAGTTAGATGGATTAGAAAATCATTGCACAACTCATTATTTTAGCAAAATGGATATTCACTATTCACTTCAGCAGTAGTGGATTATGACATATCCAAAAAAACTCTTTGGGAGTTGCTTCTATTTTATTTTAATTTTCTTGAGGATATGCAAAGTTGTTTGAAGGAGTGATCTCATCCACGACATCTAATTAATCAAGTCAATTATTGACCAAATTTTGTGAATGGCCTTTCCACACTGCAAGGACTAACTAAAAGTGTGTGACGCTCATGATGAACATTATTTAATTGTATTATTTTTCACCGTCCCCCTGTGTATTAATTTATTTGAAAGAAATTTTACTATAATCAATATTTACTTTTTTTCTTGATAAGATGATTTGTAATCACAAATTTTGTTACCAGATTTTAACTAAAAACTCTTTATTTTTAAAAACTTTGTGACTAGTTGATCAAACATGGATATATAATTAAGTTGGACAAGACTCGTACCGTTAGATTGCTTACAAGGTCAGGATCAAAGCCCCATAATGTTTGAAACAACCTGTTTATTAGTTTATTTTATTTTCCCTTTCTCTGGTTGAAATTTCTAGAAAGAAAAAATAATAATTTAGCTGATGGTATTACTTATTAGTTATTAGCCATTGGGGGTGTAAAATTAGTCTATATATGCATGATTCGCCCTATTTCCTCAAGTTTGGACCGGTTAATAACTCGTTCAATTCAACGGCTGATATATAGCCGAAATCATCCAAGGAGAAATTATCATTTTTTAAAATATGTTATTGGAAGAATACTATTTTTAATTCCTCAATTATAGATAAATTCTTATATTTCCCCACTCTAGAAGGGAACAATTCAAATGATGAAGAGGTCACACGAATAACAATAATTTTGTAAATTCAAATCTCAATTACTAGACATTTCTACACCTCCCAAATCCCATTAACTATGTGTCAAAAAAATAATATATATATATAACCTTGTTGGCGGTGGAAAGTGACAAATATTTCATAAAATTAGAGTTGTATAAAATTGATCCGAACATCATAATTTAAAAAAGAAGAAGATGTAATCGTTACAAATAGATAGGGGATAAAGAAAAAGGATATAGATATAGTCTAGAAATTAATTTTATCTATACTAGTATACTTCCATATCCTGTGGAACTAACATTATCATATCGTTATGACAAAGGATTATGGTCCATCATTCTTCTATGCAGATACGACGATTTTTTTTTATAAAAAAAATGGATAAGATCCTTAGCCTTTTTTCTTGGGAAACTAAATTATCCATGACCAATTAATTAACCACCCTTTACTTGTAAGTATATTGAACTACTATAAAAATGGAAAAACATTTGGCTAGCTAGCAAATACATCACTTAAAAACACAACAATTTGGTCAGCAGTGAAAAAATGGCAACTGCAGCAGCTGGTAGAGGAGCACAGTCCATGAACTTCATGTATATCAAGTAAGCTTACAAAATATTTCAGCTAAAACCTTTTTTTTTAAGGGAATGATCACGTACATTAAACTCAGTGATGAAACTAAGAATTTTACTGATGGTGTTCAAAATTTACTATATATTTCTAAAAAGTTGGTTTGACCTATATATACAATATGATTTTCTACATGTACAATACAATTTTTCGACAAAGAGTATTCGATCAATTTACTCTCCTGATTTTAGCTAGGAAAGATTACAGTGTGAATTTTAAAGAAAAGTAATTTTTTGGAAATGCATATATCATAATTTAATCTCATAAAAGAAAAGTTGTCTTCGAAGACGTACAATTTCTTGGAAGCGGAAGGTAGACTTAGCTAAAACTAAGTCACAAAGGAGGAAAAAGATTCATATATGATTAAAAATATATTATAGGTTTATTAGAGGACTTTTAATATTAATAATATTACATTAACTTTTTTTCATTTGATGTGAAATTACTTGAGTTAACCTCTAATAAAATAATGAAAATTCATAATTATGATGGTCAATCATAATTCATACGTAGCATATTGACTACATATTGGATCAAGTCCTACTAGGGGTGTGCATTCGGTTTTTTGGTTTGGTTTTGCACTATTCGGTTTGGATTTTCGGTTTTTGGTTTTGTAAAAGTGTAATCCAATCCGATCCAAAATAAATTTGGTTTGATTTGGTTTTCCTCTATTCGGTTTGGCTTTCTTCGGTTTGGTTATTCGGTTATGTCAATAATTAATAACATATATAACCAAAGTAATAATATTTAATCCCTTAAATATATTTTCTAATATAAATCATAAGTAAAACTTAAAACACAATACTTATAAGTATACATATTTTAGATGTAATTCAAACATAAAAGGGAGAAGACACAAGTACCCCCTAGACTATGACCGAAATCACAGAGACACACCTTAACTAAATTAAGGTCCTATTACCCCCTTGAACTCATTTTTTTGTAAGTTTGTACACCTTTTGACTTATGTGGCACACCACGCGACTCCACGCAGTATATATATATATAATTTGGTTTTTTTCGGTTTTTCGGTTTTTATCTTTTAAAATCCAAAACCAAACCAAAAAACCAAACAAAGTAATTTATTAATCCAAAACCAATCCAAAAAACTAAAAAACCAATCCAAATAAAAATTCGGTTTGATTTGATTTGGTTATTCGATTTAATCCGAATAGTGCACACCCCTAAGTACTACTACATCCATCTATTTTTTGTCACTGAAGGCACAGTGCAAGTAAGCAACTTGTGAAGATATATAAAAATGAAAAATTGACATAAATAGCTGTCAATCAAAATAGTACATACAGTATATATTCTTTTAATATTAATTTCAGCTAAAGTTAAGTTCAAATTTTGTGGCCATATATATGCAACTCTCTTATCAGAAACATGTGATGTTGCGTGTGTGAATTGTGATCATTTGTCCAAGGGGTAATCCATTGGTGGCCCCTTAAATTTGGCACGAAATTTCACTTAGGCACCTTAAGTGGGTGATGTTCATTTTAGACACTTCATATATGATCTCGCTGTGTCATTTTGACACTCTTTTGCCAATCAACAAAAATATATGAAGTGTGTGTATTACACTCGCGAATGACGTGTAAAGTAGCGAATTAAATGACGACATTTGTCAAAAACAATTTGTAGATAATGAATTTTGAGTAAAAATATAAAGTAACCAATGACTCAATGACACGTGGATTTTTGCCCAAATAATTTTTTTAAAACAAATTAAATCAATAAAATCTCCACATGACCCTCCCCCCCCCCCCCCACACCGCCCCACCCCCAATTGTCTTCTCCAAAAACTCATACCCATTTGCAGAAACACCTGCGCCCCTCCCCCCCCCACCCCACCCCACCCCACCCCAATTGTCTTCTCCAAAAACCCATACCCATTTGCAGAAACTCCCGCCCCCCTCCCCCCCCACCCCACCCCACCCCCAATTGTCTTCTCCAAAAACCCATACCCATTTTGGAGAAACACCTGCCCCCCTCCACCCCCCCCCCCCGCCCCCAATTGTCTTCTCCAAAAAACCATACCCATTTGCAGAAACACCTACCCCCCCCCCCCTTCTCCAAATACCCCTACTTAAATATTAAATTCTTTCAAGAAAGAATCTCATGAATAATTTAATATTTAATCTTGAAATGGATCTATTCCTAAATTTCTAAAATAGTTTCCATCATTTTTCATCATTTTACTGTAACTATTTTTTTTCACCATGTTGGATAGTTAAGTTTGCAAAAATGGTGGCTGAAAATGGGAAAGAAGAAGAAAAAAAAAATTAAAAAATCGACTAAATAGGTTTTTCACGCGCGCTCAACAAGTGTATTACACTCACTAAGCCATGTAAGCAAAAAGTGTCAAAATGACACATCGAGACCCTGCATGAGGTGTCTAAAATGAACATCGCCCACTTAAGATGCCTAAGTGAAACTTCGTGCCAAATTTAAGGGGTCACCGATGGGTTAGCCCTTTGTCCAATCCATCAAACAAATTTTATCTCTCTTTCTCACTCCAGTTGGTCCCTTACGTAGTTACCTTAATTATTTAGCAATATTATATATATGTGGCATTAAACGTTTTAAATGGATAAGTTGGACTGAATTGAAAGAATCAAAATGAAAGGAATCAATAAATGTTTTTTCTATTAATATCTTTTGAAAGATTACTTGGGGGCCGATGAAATGGACTAGACAAATTATCATAATCTAACTTGTTAACTCTAATAAGTAATAACATATCTCAGTATGTTTAGAATTGAGACGAAATGATTTTTATCAAAACAAAGAACCGTTCAAAATATATGAACTGAGTAATGCTACAAAACGTTTCGTTTATTAACAGTATAAATAAATTTTGAAGTTCAACTATAACGATCTTTATCTCACGTATCAGACGAACCTAATAATGGTCGTACGAGTCTTATAGTGTGTTGTACACAGGCCAATCCTGCGTAAAGGGTATCACAGAAAAAGCACATCACCAGAGATGATTAATGATACAGTTAAATTGAACGGTGAAGATCAAGTGAAGAGTGTGATGAAAAATAATCATGATGATAGTTGGTGGGTCCCAGATGACCGCACTGGAATATTTTATCCAAAGGGTCAACAAAAAGTCATTGAAGATGTTCCTTTTGCTGCAGCAAAGGATTTTGGAGCTGTTAATTGGTTTTTCTAATCATGAAGATTATCTATAAGTAATTAATTTGTTGCAAAATGTAATTTGCTTCTACCTCTAAAATGTTGTATCTTCCTATTGTTTAAGTTGCTTTGTTTTATAAACAATCATGTCAAACTTTATAAATAATACTCCCTCCGTTTCAAAAATAGCGACTTAGTTTAACTTGATATGGAATTTAAGAAAATAAAAACAAGATTTTTGAATTTTGTGGTCCTAAATTAAAGTTATGTCAAATATACAAAATTACTCTTTAATCTTGTGGCGTTAAACATGGTACGTGGAAAATATTACCAAAAAAAAGGTCATTCTTTTATAAACATACTAAAAAAAAATATGTCATTCTTTTTTAAACAGAGGGAGTAATATCTTACTTGAATAGTTTAATTGACATCAAACTAATGTTGGAAAAAATTATGAATAGTATCGTTAATTTTATTCACGCATGGTGTACGTGAGGTCCAACATAAGTCATGTTTTGAAAATAATATTTTTGACATTCTGAAGCGCTATTAAAAATATGTCTAAAAATATATGGCTTATCTTTATCAAGATAACAAAAGACTTGTCATATTAGTATTTTTGAAAATAACTCATATTATATAAGTATTCAGTGTAATTAACTCTAAATATACTATTATTATTAATTAAGTAGATCGAAAGGAAATTCAAATTTCAAATACCACAAGATTGCTCGTGGTATGGGAGGAACCTAGAGATAATGCTGACTGTATATCACACATAAATGTTTGGGTAATGGAGCAACCACAGTCTTTTGTTTTGATAGTTGACACTCATTGGTCCACAATTTTTTTTTTTATTTTTTGATAGAGAGCGCTTTAGTTTTTCTCAAGTGAAATTTTATGTGGTATAGATTTAAATTAGTTAAAGTTTAATATAAATATCGAACATCAAATAAAAATATATTACTTATCTTCGATATCAAGTTGTCAACAAGACTCAATTTTAAACTCGCTCATCTAAGATATTTAGGTCTCTAACACAAGTTTTTGTCTTATAATTCGACAAAACATATAACAATTTAGGTCCATCGGTGTTTTAATTACACGTTTTGGCCTTATCACAATGCATATGTGCAATTTAAAATATTATCATAATTGTTGTTACTTTTTTTCTGAAAGAAAAATATAATTTTCTTCCATATTTGATCATTATTTCCTTATGAGGATATTTATTCTCTGTAGTTTTAATAATTTTCTTTCATATTAGTATCATCATATATAGGTCAATTGACCAAACTAATATTATAAACTCTTTTTTGTAGTTTTTCTTTACCATTTGATTGATCACTTCCAAGATATACAAATTATAAATTTTCGTTAACGTATAAATACACTATTATTTGGGGAAGCGGATATAATGGATTGATGAGTCAATATCCAATTTCTATAAGGGTGGTTTTTGATGTGGTTGAAGCAAAGACCAACACCTTTTGGGTAACATATGTCATTGGAGTGATTTCTAGATTAACCAAAGTGATTAATCAATCTTCACATTATTAATTATAAAAACGAAATAATTTGTACACCGACTGCCTATTTAATTAGGACGGAAAGTATTATATTAAAGTTATTATATATGCCATGAGATCCATGATGGAGCGAGGAAAGTGGAATTAGTCAAAGTTCATTAACGAATAACAAATTTCTACTAAATTAACCCTAGTCAATATATGTTGATAATTTATAATGCATTATTTTATTTGAAAGACCTCTTTCTATTAATGCAATTTTGTTGAATTAGTCGTTTCATACATTTTTACTTGTCTATTAAAATAATTTTAGCTTATTCACGCTTTGCTAGAGACTTCGACGTTTTAACTCAAGTCTCAAGTTTTGTTGATTCTCTACTCTAAGAAGAAATGAATGCTTTTGAGAAATAAGACCTTGACTCATTTAACTTCTGGCATCTAATAATGATGAAAATATCACATTATCTATATTTTAGTTAATTACTTGCTATACTATGGTAGGAAAAATAGGAGCTCGGAGCCTAAGGGGTTGCAATTTGAAGAGAAAATTCCTCTCAGAATTCCGAAAAATAGTATAGAGAGTCAATTCTATTTTATTTTTCTTGAATTCAAATTTAATATTAGCTAAATGACACTTAATATCTATATATAGGAAATTAAAGTTACGAATAATATGAGACCAAGGAGGACAGTTTTGACCTTATTTTAAAAATAAATCTAATTTTGCTACGCTATATATAAATCAGTTCTAATGATCACCTACCACCCATTTTAGGTTATTGATTTGGTTATCATATTTTATGTAACACCTACTTACAGGTAGTACTTTAAAACTCATTAAACATAATATTATGTGTAAATCAGTAGGTGAAAATGTCACCGTCCGGGGGCCATCAACAACCCGTTCCGGCATATTGCGGTAGGTGAAATTTTATTTGTTGAAAAAGTCTTTTAACATTTTTTGAAGGTCAACTTTGAGTACCACCTAACTTTTGGACCCCAAATCCTCATCAAAGAACCACTTTCACCAACCACACCTCTTCATGTCCTCACATTTCTTTTCTTCTTTTGTCCGGAGTGAACATTAGAGTGCCGATAAAATTTGAATTGCATATTGAATGACCCATACAAAGATGACGCTTCGAACAAGATTTTTTCCATATATATTCAGGGCTCGAAGCTAGTATCTCTGATTAAGGATGAAACAGTTTCACCACTACACTACAATTTGTTATGTTGTCACATTTCTAATATCCCCTAGAAAAACATTTTAAAAAAATTCCATGAAACTACCCCTAAACAACCCTAAATTCCCATCAAGTCCTTCTCACCAACTCTCTAGTTTGGCTTCACGTCTTCAACAACACATACTCATATATATACTCCACCTTTGAACATTCATCTTCAGGACACCTAAAAAAAGTCTTCAACACTTTTTCTTTATTGCTCTTAACGTGCCCAAAATTTCAAACCATAGTACTACTTTTTTTTTCGTTCTCATCAAGTCTCAAAAGCTAAGGAAAAATGACAAATATAACAATGGAGAAGGAAACAAAACAAGGCGATATAATTTTTCGATCGAAACTCCCTGATATTTACATCCCTAATCATCTTCCGTTACACTCATATTGTTTCGAAAACATTTCGGAATTTAAATCGCGCCCGTGTTTAATCGACGGGGCGAATAATCAAATTTATACGTACGCTGATGTTGAGCTCAATTCGAGAAAAGTTGCAGCTGGTCTTCATAAGAAATTTGGGATCCAACAAAAGGATACTATTATGATCTTATTGCCAAATTCACCAGAATTTGTGTACGCCTTCCTTGGTGCGTCGTACCTCGGCGCAATTTCGACGATGGCTAATCCTTTGTTTACGTCTGCTGAAGTTGTGAAGCAAGCCAAGGCTTCTAATGCTAAGATCATTGTCACGCAAGCGTGTCATGTGAACAAGGTGAAGGATTATGCGTTGGAGAATGATGTGAAGATTGTGTGTATTGACTCTGCACCGGAGGGTTGTGTTCACTTCTGCGAGTTGATTCAGGCTGATGAGCATGATATCCCTGAGGTAATACTGTGTGATCATCTTATCTAAAAGTAAATTGAGAAAACATATTTATTAGTTACGTAATTATGTTATGTTGAGACTTGTACTCTCCTTACGTACAAACTTGGTTCTTTTTCACTGGTCAAACACGTGAAGATGATTTTTTGGGGTGAATAAACCGAGGATTTGTGCATATTTTGGTATCATGTTAAATTGTATAAATATTAATTAGTTAGTTGCTTAATTATATAGTACTATATTTTGTGGAGAAAATACCTTATTTTGGGGGTTGATTCTTTTTCACTAGTCAAACTCTCTACTTTCTAGGTTCTTTCGAAATTTTTAATCTGTTTTAATATCATGTTGAATTATACGATCATTTTAACTAAAAGATATCTCAACAGGTGGAAATCCAACCCGACGATGTGGTGGCGTTGCCTTATTCCTCAGGAACAACCGGTCTACCTAAAGGTGTCATGTTGACACACAAGGGACTAGTCACAAGTGTGGCACAACAAGTTGATGGTGAAAATCCAAACTTGTACATCCATAGTGAGGATGTGTTGCTTTGTGTGTTGCCCTTGTTTCATATATATTCCCTCAATTCCATTTTGCTATGTGGATTAAGAGTTGGAGCAGCAATTTTGATTATGCAAAAATTTGATATTGTTCCATTCTTGGAATTAATACAAAATTACAAGGTGACAATAGGGCCATTTGTGCCACCTATTGTTTTGGCCATTGCTAAGAGTCCTATGGTTGATAATTATGATTTATCATCAGTAAGAACCGTTATGTCAGGGGCTGCACCATTAGGAAAAGAACTTGAAGACACTGTTCGAGCCAAAATTCCTAATGCTAAACTTGGTCAAGTAAGATTTCTTATTTCCTAACAACTTCCTAATTAATATATTTTTATTTAATTATACATATCAAATTGCTCACATTAATTTAGGCTGGCGTTAGTTTTTATAGTAGTACTTATATATATGATTAGTTAATTGTTGATTTTGATTTGACTTGATCTAAGTTCAGATCTCAATGCACATTGTTGCTTAATTGCTGAATATTTTACACTAATTATAGGGATTAATTAAGCTTAATTTCACATGTTAATAAGGCTTTTGTTTGGAATTTTCTATTTTTTGCCTAGAAATTTCCTTGTGGTTGGTAAACGTCTAATCTCAGGTTGCTGAAAAGATTCAATCAATTAAAAAATATTGCAATGAAGCAACTCCACTTTTCTTATACAAGACATAAATAATATTTAAACCATCCAATCATTTATAATTTAATAGGAAATAAAAGGTAGTAATTATTTATAACAAACACTCGTTAGAGCTTAAATTGAGTATCATATTTTACTTGTTCAGTATAAAAAATTAAGAAATAATTTATCATTTAATTTATAATTTACCTTTTATTAACTATAATAATTTTTCAAAAAATATTTCATTTATTATATTAAATAGG